TGGGTCTGCTGCTGCGGGTTCTGTGTGGGGGACAAAGGGAGCCCCTGAGATGTGCTGAAGGAGCCGCCGGCCGCGCCCCAGGGATGCGCTCGCGCGGTCACGGGGTGGTTGGGTTGGACGTGAGGAGAAAGCTCCTTCACAGGAGGGTGTGGGTAAAGGTTATTCCGTTCAGGTACACGTTAGAGATCAACAAACACAGGGAACTCGTCTAGATTTCCACAGATACTTACGGTTTTCAGAAACTAACGCTATTAAGACTATAAGAGGAGGCTGAGGGGAGACCTGATCACCCTCTACAGCTGAGAGGAGGGTGTAAGGAGGTGGGTGCTGGTCTCTTCTCACAAGTAACTGGTGCCAGGACAAGAGGGAATGGCCTCAAGCTGCACCAGGGGGGGTTCAGACTGGACATTAGGAAGGACTTTTTCAGTGAAAGGGTTGGCAGGCACTGGAATGGGCTGCCCAGGGAGGTGGAGGTGTCACCATCCCTGGGTATGTTGAAAAGTCCTCTAGATGTGGTGCTGGGGGACACGGCTCAGGGCTGGGCTTGGGACAGTGGGGTTAATGGTTGGACAAGATGGTCTTGAAGGTCTTTTCCAACCTCAGTGATTCTACGAATCTATGATTCTATTAAAAAAAAACACAACAAAAAACCCATCACTTGCAACGACACCACAAAGAAGCAAAACACGGCACAGATCCAACTTGCAAAAATCTCCTTTTCCTTCACGTTTTCTACACTGTGGGAAAAAATCCCATGAGCAACGTGTGGCTTATTAACTCAATGGTCTAAAAAAAAAAGGTTCATTTGGAGTGTGCATAAATACATGACCGTCCCCAGCAATCTCCAAGCCCTTTACACAGTGGCTGTTTGGAATAGAAGCCTGCCATTGTTTCCACCCCCAACACACCCAGGAAAAGGACAGATATTTACTTTTAAATACTCTGACTTAACAAAAGCCAGAGTCATTGTAATTCATAAGGTTTGCTCTTGGTTTTGAAGCTGTGGGAGTTGAAGCAAGGCTAGTAGCTAAACTACAATCAAACCTGTATCGTGATTTTTATTGTATTTTTGCTTAGGTGGCTGTTTCCTCTTTTTGAAAAATCCTATCTGGGCACAAATGTCCAGGACGTCACCACTTGTTCTCAGTCCAGAAGAAACTACAACAACTGTTCTGAAAACAGAACTTGCTGCTTGAAACGTCTTGCGATGGGTGTATTTTTAAACTCAGCTGATTTCCCAAGTTAGGCAGGAAATCTGAAAACAGAAGGTGCAGGTAGTCAAATGGTCTCTCCAAAAGACTGTCACCCTCACATAGCCCTCAGACAACTGCAGTGTGAGGCTGTTTTCCTGATGTTTTGCTAGTGACTGTTGGTGTCCCACACACACTCTGAAGGGGAAGGAACAAGCTGCTCCACACACCAGAGCACCCTTGTCCAGCCTTCCCAGCAGGATGGCCAAGCACTGCAGCCACGTCCCACAGCTGAGCTACACACACACAAAGCCAGGCAGGTGATGGAGCCAAACACACCACAGGTTCCTGCCCACGAGGCTTTGGGAAACAAGAGCATTCAGAGCAGACTGTCCCTACCAGAACTGTTCACAGTCCTTATTAATCCTTTGTCTGAGGGCCCTGAAAACATGACCAGGAAACTGTGCAGATGGATGGAACGTTGTGATGTGGTGCCAAGAAGCAGGCTGCCACTATTTATCTGAGACCCTGACAGCCACCTCCTTTCAAATGGCTGGAGCTGTGCCAGTCATACAAAGGGAATGCCATTCTCTCCACGTGAGCACAATGTATTTTCATCATGCTGTGCAGGAGGAGGCAGCAAGGTCCCCCTGGAATGGCAGCAGCTGGAAGCAACCTACTGCTGGCAGAGCAACCCATCCAGCTCATTCCCCACAGCTCAGGGCAAACTGTGCTGGTGATACTCCCCGAGACACCCCAAAGTCATCCGACAGTTTTCATCTGTCTGGGAAGCAGTTTTAAGTGGGCCTTGCCTGGAAAACAGTTTTGGTGAACTCTTCATGCTTCAGCACGTTTCATTGGGTAGCACCATGGCTGTCTTCCTGCACGCTTGAAAGGAAAAAAATAAGGAGTTTATAAAAGGAGTTGATTATACCTTATCCCCTTTCTCTTCAGGTTCATCTTCATTGAGGAATTCTCTTTTGGGATATGGAATCTGACAGCCAGCAAACACACTGCAACACAAGGAACAGTAGACAGGCATGTACATATGACATACATTTACCTCATGTCATATTAAAAACAAGAGAATATAACACAATTTAAGTTCTTGCACTTCAGTTCTTGTGTTTCCACAAGCAAGTGGCAGTGTGAGCACTCAGGAGAGCAGCAGACCCCAGCAGCCAGGTGCCAGATCTCTGTGCTGTTGGCATGAGGCCATCATTTAGAAACCATGGCAGGGCTGAGCATGCCCAAATGCCAGAACAGCCACTTGTTGATCCAGATGGCAAAATGAACAAGCCAAGTGTCAGAGACTCCACAACACCTAGTTGGGACATGCATGGCTCACTGAATAAAGAGTCTGATCCAAAGAGTATTGTCTTAGGAGCTTGCTTGGCTCACAGTGGGCTTAAATATATTTGCCAATCACAACTGCAGAGCTACTTTCAATTAGCTCCTCAGGTCTTGTTTAGAGAAAAAAAAAATAGCTTTTAAATTCATCTGGCTAATGGCATTTGGAACATTCCTTACTGGTTACAGCAGAGACTTTATCACAGTGTTATCCTGTAATCCACCTGGAGCTACAGCTCTATGTGGGATAGTATCAGACAAACACTAAACAGAAAAGTACTGGTAGGGCCTGAAACCAGGATCAATTTCTTCAGATTTCAGAATACAATCAATGTGACATGATTTTTCAAAGTGTGTAAACAGTTTCTAATCTGGGTGCTATGCAGTGTGTGGCTCATTCTGAGAAAGAATAAGAAAGAAAAAAACCCAACTAGTCTTCTCTAGACTCCTTTTGCACTCCAGTGGCTCTTCCCTCTTTTCAGTTTTGCCTGACAGCTGAGGAAGCAAAGAAAGCTGGGTGGAAAGACTCCCTGCATCCAGCTCCTACAGATCAGAATGCTGTGAGCCACCAGGATTCTGAAATCTGAGAAAAGAGGCTGGAAAAGTCAGCCAGGAGGAATGGAATCTATCATTTCAACTTTTCAGGACAATAAAATACATAGAGATATAAAATCTGTATGCTCAAGCCTTCCGAAGAAGGGACCTGTGGGATTTTAGGCAATCATTGATCCCTCTCTCCTCACCCTGTTACCCTGTGCCAGAGGGCTTGGGAAGGGGCTGTAGGTCACAGAAGTGTCCCAGGGGAGATACAAGGAAAGCAGGCAGAGGAGAACAGGGCTCTGGGAGGCAGCGTAAGGCAGGACAGAGCAGGGATGGATTCATTCTCTAAATCCTGCAATAACAGTGTCCCACTAGCTCTGGTAGGACATTCAGAATGACAACACTGGTGTGGTACTGGGTAATTGTCCAAGACAATTCTGGCACCAGTAGATACAGACACCTCAGGACTGTACTAATAGTTTCTGTTGAACATGCCTGAGCTACAGCTTCTTGTGGGTATCAGCTGGTACCCGTGAATTTCTTAGCTGTTGTCTCATTTCAGGGATTAGCACTTGGCAGAAAGAAACGTCCCCTGAGGAGAGCACAGAGGAGGGAACACATACTCTGATGTAGGCAGAGGATCCTCTTGGAAGTAGGGGTCCTGCAAAGCCTGCTCTGAGGTAATTCTCTTTGTCGGGTCCATAGTAAGAAGCTTCTGGAGCTGCAAAACAGAACATTAGAAATAGCAAAAAAGCTTCTTCAACTATCATTTTTCAAACTGTTTCTTATACATCTTGGATTGTGGATTGTTAAATTATTCCTGGCTTGTCCAGACAAGCCTAAGTTAGTGCTGCTTGCTCAGTGGAGTTCCCAAGAACCGGAATGCACATCCACCAAAGCCCAAAGGGACTGGGAAGCCCTTCTTGTGTGAGAAACACTGAAGTGTGTGAGGCAACACCTCACCCAGACCTCAGTGGGTAAGGCTGAACACAGAGCTAAAGTGACACCAATGAAAGGCTTATCATCCCTGGTGTTTTGCTGCAGCACACATTCAGCTTTTATCCTGCTGACACAACAGGGGGAAAAAAAAGTGGCAGAAGAGGCTGCTCGTGGCCAGGAGTCTCCACATCACCCTGGGGACACAAACAGTAAATCTTATTTTCTCACACTGCCCACACTCCAGAGTCAGAGCACCCCAGCACACACACAGCTCCCAGTCCCACCCTGACTGGAATTGAAATGGTAAAGAGAAGGAGCAGCCCTTCTTAGTAACCTTTCTTCCTTGCTAGGAGGAAAGCAGTAACACATGTATTAGCTAGAATGCTGTTGGCTGCAGGATTACAATGTATTAGTAGTATAAACCAGGAATTGTAGGGATAACATACCACTGTAAGTAGTTATTTCTCACATGCTGATAAACTCACAGCAGGAAATTTGGGTGCTCAGAGTACATCACACAATATTTTCTACATTCAAGTCAACAGTGAAAATACAATTCCTTCCACAAGGGTATCTCAGCTCAAACTCCACCTTCCAGGCCTCCAGCAAAAATTCCCTGGATATTCAGTGAAATAATATGATTTTGGCGTGGGTGTTTCCAGGGCTCTTTGTTCCAATAAATCAAAAATCAGATATACTATTCTATATATGCAGTACAGTAAACAGCCTCAGTAAAAGCACACAAGCTCATCAAGAGAGGTGATTCCCTGCATTTCTTTTCTCAATAGTTGTAGGAAACCCGATTTGTAGATGAGATCTTATAAAATTCTCTGTACTTCTTCCTCTTCCTTTCCACCTCTCCTTATTCCCATACTTTATGGGGCTGAGGACCTCACCAGACTGCCAACACAACAAAGAGCCATTTGAGCTGTCTCTCCACCTGTGAATTCATTTGCAACCAGTTCAATCCTGCTGCTCCAGATGGCCCTTTACTGCACACACCTGCAGAGTGTGCCTGGCACACGTACTTACTGCTAGCACTACATCTCCTTCTTGTCTTAACAAATTCAACTTCTGATGTGCTGTTGGCTCCCTACACAGTGACTTCCCATGACACGAGAGATGCAGAAAAGTTTTGGCATTCCCTATCTTGAAGTCAGATCACCACCTCTCCCTGCTTGCAACATTTTGATCTGTTTTAGGGGCTTGTGACACCATTACAGGTGATGCAAATTGCTCCCCCCCCATTCCTCCACACTGACTGCAGGGACAACCACTCCTGCTCTAAGGCCACTCCTGGACTTTGTCACCAGATGTAGTCACAGAAGGGTACAGGACACCAGCCTCTGCTCCCTGGGCTCCCTCCTCAGAACTGGATGCTGCACTTCTACTCCAGAGAAAGCTCTTGCAGTTCTCTGCCCTATAACTCTGGCATCACAAGCTGCCCCCAAACATGACCTGTAGTCTTTGTCATTCAAAGACAAGGTGAAGGTCCTGCAGCAGCAGATCTAAAGATATCTTGGACCTTGTCATGATCTGCTCATTTGCTTAGCAACCAAGCCCCTTCCACCCCTGAGGATATCATCAGGTTGCCCATTTCAGGGGACACCACACACAACATGGCTCCAAGTGAGCTGTCCTGCCTAGCAGTGATGCTACTGTACTCCAGCTTTCTTTTAGATCTGGTTTTCTGGAGCTTCTGTTGCTTCTAGGAAAGTGAATAAAAAATGTCTGGATGCAATTTACTTTCAGGGCAGCAGCTGCTAAAGCCTGAGAGACTGGACTTCATCAACAGCCTCCTAATTCTCAGCAGCTCTCCAGATTGCTCACTGCCAGGCTCTGGACTGTAGAGCTGTCAGCCCTCAGCTATAAATACTATGCCTGTAACATTTCCAGGACAGCAAGAACAGATGCCTTTTCCTGGATGGAAAACATTCTGCCCTTCACGTAGGTATTACCATTCAATGTCAGCCAGCAGAGGGGCACACTTTGTCAGGAGTCACTTGCTCTCCTGCACTGGTCTGCTTTGATGCCATATTTTCTCTAGGAGTACACTCATCCCTCATCAGCAGGA